AATCAACGCGAATTGATTATGACGAATTAATAGAAGACAAGAAACTTGGTGAAGGCTCGTTTGGTGTTGTGTATAAAGGAAGTTACAAAGAAAATGTTGTTGCAATCAAAAAGATGAAAACCGTTTTTGATGATAATAAGTTGATGGATGAATTTGAGAATGAAGTGTCAATGCTTGACAAATTTAGGTGTGAGTATATCGTCCATTTCTACGGCGCCGTGTTTATTCCAAGCAAAGTGTGTATGGTCACTGAGTTTGCACAATATGGGAGTTTACAAGACTTGATGAAACACAAAACAAGTGATGAAGTTGTCATGAAATTGCGACTCAAATTTATGATTGATGCAGCAAAGGGAATATCATATTTACATGAAAACGGTATATTACACAGAGACATCAAACCAGATAATATTCTTGTGTTTTCATTTGATCTAAATAATAAAGTGAATGCAAAATTGACTGATTTCGGGTCAAGTAGAAATATAAACATGTTAATGACAAACATGACATTCACAAAAGGTGTTGGAACACCAAAATATATGGCACCTGAGGTTTTAAACAAAGAAAAGTACACAAAAAGCGCCGACGTATATTCGTTTGGTGTATCTTTATTTGAATGTGTTATATGGAAAGAACCATATTTGGATAAACAATTTAAGTTTGCATGGGATATCGTCGATTTTGTTGTGAGTGGAAAACGTTTAAAAAAGCCATATTATTTAAACAATGACATATACAACATTGTGAATGATATGTGGTGTCAAGACGTTGGTAAAAGAATAAAAATGAACGACGTGGTATTAAAACTGGAAAACATCAACATATAATTTAAAACAATTATTTTTTCGTCAACAACAATTGTTTGTATTGTGATCTTTCAGAACCAGTGTTATTTAAAAAAATAATGTTATATTAAATAAATTAATTTAACCTGCCAACATAGTTAGACATTTATAGGGGATCCATAAACTAGTTGGGGAATTTATTAGAAACTTTTTTAAAAAACAATATTTACACGTAAAGGGGTGGAAAAAACCGCTTCAGGAAAAAAACCGTTTTTGATAATTTAATAGTAAAATGATAATATGATTATAGTTTTTTTGTATAGTTTATTTTTTTCCTTTTCCTCGATTTGATTCAAAAAAACAAGGTTTACAAGAATATCTATTACTTTTTCAAGATGCCAATGTTTGTTATTGGAATTTGTGAATTATTTTTTATGTAAAGTAAAAGCTGGATTTGCCGAATGATAAAAAGAGGAGCAAGAAAGATTGACTTCGAAACTGTTCTTTGTAGTCAAAATAACAAAAAAAAACAACTCGGAATTCATCAAATAAAATGAACTTTTTATTAAATATTTTTTTAATTTTTTGCAGAAATAAAAAAACTCAAAAACACTAACCCGCGAGTGTACCTTTTTTTCACACCCCCTTTCACTCCTTTATATTTTTTTTTCAGTTTTTTAATCATCCATTAAACAAATACTCAACAGTCAAATCGATTACCTCTCGAGCAACATGGTAAATATACGGGCCAGCACATGTTTTTAATAGACCACTTTTCAATGTCTCTCAGCAAAGACAGACTGCACCTTTATTCCACACCCCCTCTTGTTGGATTCCTCATTCGCTCAAAAATGCATTTCACTGCCAAACTGAAAAAAACGCACTTTGGACTTACTCACCAACTGAACGTGAGTGCATCCATTCTCAGCGGTTTTTCAAGTGCCTGTCAAGCAAGCGATAAATGACTCGTTATTTCGTTGTACTTGCTTTTTTGAAACTTTTTATAAAATAAACGAAGCAATTTATTAATATTGGTCTATAAAAACAATGTAAGACGGATAATTTTGTGTAAATTATTAGAAGCGGTAAAAGGGCGCTGCACGTGTCCGTTAGAATTTCTCGTGTTTTTTTGCTTTTTTCCATTAAAACTTCAATTATTTGAGGCAAATTGAAACTATGGTTATAATTGTGTGTAATTTTTTCAGTAAATGGTAGTAAACCGGTTTTTCCCGCCGTGCAGAAAAACGATAAAAAAGACTGGGAGGATACTGTGGACGATCTGAAAGTGTGGCAATCATTTCTGCATGGTGAATAAATTCAAGTTTATTGTGTATTTTTGTGTGTTATTCAATACATTTGGTTAAAAAATATTTGTATGCCGAGAAAAAACACCCTATTTTTCACAATCTAAAAAGGCAATATTTGGTTATTGGATATGTTTTCATCATAAAACAATAAGAATTTGGTTACGAAAAGACAAAAAAAGATCTAAAGCGGTTTTTCGCCACCGTATTATTTTTTTATTATAAAAATCGGCAAAATGACCAAAAACGTTATTTTTTTATACAATAAAACAAGTAAATGGTAGTGAAGCGGGTTTTCCCGCCAGCCAAAATGCTTGCCCAAAAGTGCATTTCAATAAAAAATGTTGAAAACATCATGGAGACAATGACTGTTATCATCCAAATACATTATTAAGAAGACATGGTGCCAAAGTGAAAGTTGATGTGTTATTTATTTTAGAGGGGTTCTTAAACCTTTATCCACTAATTATAAAAAAATTAATAATCAACAACTTTCTTACTATTCGATGGACTATATTGTTTATTTTATTACAATAAATATATGTAACATTTTGGGATTTTCGCACATACTTTTATAAAGAAGAACAAAATAACTATAAACATTAATAAATTTATTATAATTTATACTATAACTTGTTTCAAAAATTGAATCAAATGGTGAGTCTGAAAAGTAATGAAAACCATTTAACACTTGTATAGTTCAAAAGAGATACACAACGACAACCACGGTTTCAATACGTTGTGTCAAATGGACCAATTCATGTTCATTCTATTTGGATTTGAGCATAAGTTAAATGATAATTATGGTTTATATTATTATTTAATAGTAAATTTATTAATTTTATTAGTAATTTTAGGTCCAGATATGGTTAAATTATAATAATAAATAGTTAATATATTATTTAATACAATTCCATTTTTATCTTTCGCAATGTCATTAATTATTTGATAAATCATAGATTAAAATAGATTAAACATTTAAAAACAAAATTATTTTTCATTTGACAATATCCAAGCAAAACAACTACATAATGCACTAACTTTACTAATAATCAAAATTTACATAGTTGGTATTGTTTTATCGCAAACATGATCTAAAAAATGTAAGTTATATTTTTACCAATTATAAGGGTTTATAAGAAGATCTCCAAAAGCGACGATATCAAATTATCTCGTTCATTACAAGGTCAAACAATTTGTTTATTATGTTTAACAACATCAAAACCACGACATTGACGACTTAAACTTGAACTCATGTGTTTATGAAGACAAAATAAAGCACAAAAACAACAATGACAAAAAGACTTAATTTAATTTACTCTGAAAATAAAAAAGATGATGAGGCAGACTGCAAAGATGATAATTTTGTTTGTTAATTCAAACGATATAAAACTAACAAACACTGCGTTTACTACACTAATATATTATAATAAAATTTAATTAAAAATTTATGTATTTTTGGTTATATGTCTTACTATTGTAAGCTGTTTCCCGTTTTCTTTCAAACAAATTCTGTAATAACTCAGCTTTTCATTGTTATATAAATAGACTTTACCAGCCTTCTTTTAAACACTTCGAAAAAAATGCTCAGGCAAAATGAAAATGATGTTTTTTTGTTTAAATAAAAAATTAAAATCAAATAACATTTAGAATACATTTTACCATTATTCACCAAAAATTATCAAAAGCGGTTTTTTCCTGAAGCGGGTTTTTTCCACCCCTTTATTTTGAAAAAGAAAAACCATGCTCTGCAGTTTTGGGAAGTAAAAAACATGTTAATTTCTATTTTTGTTTTTGTTGTTTTGCAATTTTAGAAATTAATAAAAAACCAATAATAACCAATAAATAAAAACAAATCATTTATATTTTTTTGTGGATAAATTACAGGTCGGTACGAAACCCCTATAGAATTCTAAAACCCCTCAAGTCGTCAATTGATTGGTCGAAAACAGAAAAAAAATATTTTATATTTAGAAACGACATTTTCGGATGACAATTGTAAGCCAACTCCACAAACACGTTGTTTAAACCTGTTCTCCGATGTCACTTTTTGTGGTTTTACACGAGACGCGACTCGTTACGATCATGTCTTGAACAGTTATAAACAAATGTAGTTTTTTATGGTTTTTATTTTTATATTTTGTTTTTGTTATACAAAACTTATTATTATCCTATTTTATATCATAATTAATCGGAATAATGTCTAAATTAATTTACTTTGAAACTTGAAGGATTTTAAGTCGAATTAATAGGTTTTTATCATACTTGTAATTATTTTATTTAAAACGAACGAATAATTATTTTCGAGTTTTTTATTTTATCAAAATTTATGAGACTGTCTATGTATTTAAATTTTCATTGTTGAAATCCAAAAAAACAATAAATGGTTTCAAAGTTGGATGCTTTTAACTTTCAAATAGTCGTCCAACACTTTTACTTTGAAGAAGATTTTATCAACTCGGTTCTTATCTGCAAGAAATTTTCCTGTGTTTTGGACCGTTTTCGTTACAATCCCATTCCAGTAACAACAACGAAACTATTTCATTATATTGAGACACAACACTTATATACCAAAAATGATTGTGAATTGCCTTCTGTTAATAATTTTGTTGTTTGGTATAAAATCCCATACTCACAGACAACAACAAAATCGGAGTACAAATCCATTACATTTGAGAGTATAAAAATTTCATGTGAAGATGTAAATTCTGAAAATATCAAAAAATACGAACAACTGAAAAATATTCTCAAAAACACTGCCATCAAAACACTTGGAAAACATTTTTTAAATAACTTTGACGTCACCAAATTTGTGGTTCCAAACCACGTAACAAAACTTAAACACCACGTATTCGATAATAATAGTCACCTTGATTGTGTGACACTTAACGAAAAACTCCTTTCAATACCACGTTTTTGTTTTAGTTATTGTAGTAACTTGAAAACGATCACATTTCCATCTTCGGTAACTCATATAATGGCAAACGCGTTTTCTAATTGTGGAATTGAAAGAATAACCCTACCATCATCAATTTATTTCATCAAAAATTCCGCGTTTGCTGATTGTCAACAGTTGAAAGAAATTGTAATTTCTGATGCTGTAAAATGTATTGATTTTTCAACATTTTATAATTGTCACAATTTGTCTAAAGTTGTTCTTCCCAACAATTTAAAAGAAATTAAAGGAAATGCATTTGAAGACTGCAAACTACTTGAACATATCAGAATACCAAAGAGTGTACATTTTATTGGAGAAATGGCGTTTCTAAACTGTGAAAATATTAAAGAAATTGTTGTAAGTCAAATTTGTAGCATTGGACTCGGAGCATTCATTAATTGTACATCTCTTACAACTTTTATTGTCCCAACTTTCAATGGAAATTTGATAAACCCAATTTCCAAAAAAGAAGTTGATGTGTATGAGAGGTTTTATACCAATTTTGAAGTAGAAAAAAATGAAAGTGATGAAAGTGACGAGGAGAGTGAAGAGGAATACGATGATATGGATAATGAAGAAAACGATAATCCCAATAATCAAAATAACAAGGGCAACAAAATTGTTTGTTTTTTATCCATTAAAACTTTATGCATTTCAATTAATAAAATCATACATGATAAATTACACAAACTATAAATTAATAACAATTGGTATTAAATTTAATATTAATTTTTTAATTACTTTATATGATTAAGTATAATATATAATTATATTTTATATGATATATTATATATTAAATATAAAATAATAATAGTACATTAATTTTAATTTTAAGAATATTATTTTTATGATTCATTAATAAATATTTTTTTAAAACTAGTATTTAAATTAGTTATTATTATTGTGAAGTAAATAATATACAAAAATTTGATAAATATTTAACATTTATACCCATATTCAGAGGTTTTCAAAATCACAATCCTAATTATTCACGTCACCATTTCATAACCAAAATGTTCATTTTCTCTTATAAATTCGTACGTTATAATACCACATTTTCGGCAATAATTATTTTGGAAACCTATACCCATATTGTTTTCGATCTTATTATATGATAGTTTCGTATTATTATTTTTTTGTGAAAAATAAATACAACAAACAATTAAAATGAGAATTTATAATAACATAGAGGGAGTCTTAAACAGAGACTATACTGAAGTATATGAATTTTGCAATAAAACAGACATTCAGCACATTTATGGTCTTGATAAAGTTACAAAAATTAAAACTCGAAGTTTCTATAATTGTTGTTCTCTTCAAGAATTGGTGATCAACGAAAATGCAACAATCGAAAGTGATTTTTTCGGAAATTGCACATCACTGACTCGATTGGTTCTCCCCAATGACAACATGAAAGTGAGATTTGTACCAACAATAGAAGAAATTGGTATTTTAGATAAATTCCATTACAAATACGACAAAGTGCTTTGTGTTATTTTAAGAACAGACAGCCCCTCTAAATTATAAGAAATAAAAAATTTGAATTATCCAGTCAAATTGATTAATTTGTTTCCAAAAAACTGACGGATTAAAAACACTGAAAATCTCTTCAAATGTACAAGCAATTGATAGCTCTTTTTTCTCTTCGAGTGAATATGAATATATTGATTTAGGAAATGTCAATGAAATTGGGGAAAACCTGTTTGGACCAAATTTGATATCTGTGACAATCCCAACAACTCTGACAAGTATAGGAGATGACATTTTTAAAGAATGTGACAACCTTAAAAATGTTGATTTGTGTGGTAAACAAACTTTTGATGGGTCAGTGAGTGTTGATAAAATGCGACTATTTAAGCGATTAAACATTCAATGTACCAAAGTAAATGTCTCTATTGACCAACTCGATTTATTTAAAAATGTCAAAGATATCAATTTGGTACTTGTGAAAAATAAGACCAAATTACAGCACATTACTTACTTAAATATCCCAAATAACGTGGTTTCTATTTCTGAAAATTGTTTTAAAGAATTTTATAATTTACAAGAAGTTGTACTTTCAACAAATTTGACATCAATCGGAAGTTTTGCTTTTAAAAATTGCATTTCCCTTCACAGAATACAATTTCCAGACAGTTTGAAAGTTATCAAAGAATACGCATTTCTGTATTGTGGATTGACACAAATAACAATTCCAACAAGTGTCACTGCAATTGAAAATAATGCCTTTGAATGGTGTTTTGCATTAAAACGTGTTGTTGTTCCAAAAACAGTTTTAGAACACAAAAATGTATTTTTTGAGTGTTTTTCACTGGAACATGTCCAATTTATTGAAAACAGTCAAAAAAGCACAAAAGTTAATACAACTTTTATTTATTGTAAATCACTCAAAGAAATCATTATACCAAATGACATAACAAAAATAGAAAACAATACATTTTCTTCATGTTTATCTGTTACTAAAATCTCAATTGGAAGTTCTGTTGAAAAAATAGGACACCACTGTTTTGATAGGTGTGAAAATCTTGAAGAAATCGAAATTCCACAATCAGTGACTTTTATTGACGATTTCGCATTTTACAGGTGCCGCAAATTACGAAGTGTGAAATTCAACAACAGTCAAATAGAACTTTCACCCACCGTTTTTGAATGCTGTAATAATTTAAAAGATGTGTTTGTGAATGGACTAATCTCAAAGAAATGAAATTTCCTGTTTCATATAGTGCGTTTCTGATGCTAAATAACAATAAAATGAAATGTACAAATATACACTTTGTATCACTGATATGAC